GTGATTTCCCCTTTATCATTTCTTTATTGCATCTATTTGGTTGTTCTCTCTTTTCTTTTTTAGCAGTCTGGCTAGTGGTCTATTTTGTTGATCTTTTAAAAAAACCAGCTCTTGGATCTATTGATTTTTTGAAGGGTTTTTCGTGTCTCTATCTCCTTCAGTTCTGCTCTGATCTTAGTTATTTCTTGCCTTCTGCTAGGTTTTCAGTTTTTTTGATCTTGCTCCTCTAGTTCTTTCAATTTTGATGATAGGGTATCAATTTTGGATCTCTCCACTCTTCTCATATGGGCACTTATTGATATATATTTTTCTCTGGAGACTGCTTTAAATGTGTCCCGGAGATTCTGGTATGTTGTGTCTTCGTTCTTGTTGGTTTCGAAGAACATCTTTATTTCTGCCTTCATTTCATTCTTTATTCATTCAACATTCAAGAGCCAGTTGTTCAGTTTCCATGAAGCTGTGCAGTTCTGAATTCGTTTCTGAATTCTGAGTTCTAACTTGATTGCACTATGGTCTGAGAGACTGTTTGTTATTATGTCAGTTGTTTTGCCTTTGATGAGGAGTGATTTACTTCCAATTATGTGGTCAATTTTAGAGTAGGTGTGATGTGGTGCTGAGAAGAATGTATATTCTGTGGATTCGGGGTGGAGAGTTCTGTAAATGTCTATCAGGTTTGCTTGTTCCAGGTCTGAGTTCAAGTCCTGGATATCCTTGTTAATTTTCTGTCTGGTTGATCTGTCTAATATTGACAGTAGAGTGTTAAAATCTCCCACTATTATTGTGTGGGAGTCTAAGTCTCTTTGTAGGTCGTCAAGAACTTGCCTTATATATCTAGGTGCTCCTGTATTGGGTCCATATATATTTAGGATCGTTAGCTCTTCTTGTCATATCGATTCTTTTACCATTATGTAATGACCTTCTTTGTCTCTTTTGATCTTTGTTGCTTTAAAGTCTATTTTATCAGAGACGAGAATTGTAACTCCTGCTTTTTTTTGCTCTCCATTTTCTTGGTAAATGTTCCTCCATCCCTTTATTTTGAGCCTTTGTGTATCCTTGCATGTGAGATGGGTTTCCTGGATACAGCACAGTGATGGGTTTTGGCTTTTTATCCAATTTGCCAGTCTGTGTCTTTTGATTGGTGCATTTAGCCCATTTACATTTAGGGTTAATATTGTTATATGTGAATTTGATACTGCCATTTTGATGCTAGCTGGCTGTTTTGCCCGTTAGTTGTTGTAGATTCTTCATTATGTTGATGCTCTTTAGCATTTAGTGTGATTTTGGAATGGCTGGTACTGGTTGTTCCTTTCTATGTGTAGTGCCTCTTTCAGGAGCTCTTGTAAAGCAGGCCTGGTGGTGACAAAATCTCTGAGTGCTTGCTTGTTTGCAAAGGATTTTATTTTTCCTTCACTTCTGAAGCTCAGTTTGGCTGGATATGAAATTCTGGGTTGAAAGTTCTTTTCTTTAAGGATGTTGAATATTGGCCCCCACTCTCTTCTGGCTTGTAGAGTTTCTGCCGAGAGATCTGCTGTGAGTCTGATGGGCTTCCCTTTGTGGGTGAACTGACCTTTCTCTCTGGCTGCCCTTAGTATTTTCTTTTTCATTTCAACCCTGGTGAATCTGACGATTATGTGCCTTGGGGTTGCTCTTCTTGCGGAATATCTTTGTGGTGTTCTCTGTATTTCCTGGACTTGAGTATTGGCCTGGCTTGCTAGATTGGGGAAATTTTCCTGGATAATATCCTGAAGAGTATTTTCCAGCTTGAATTCATTCTCTTCATCACATTCTGGTACACCTATCAAACGTAGGTTAGGTCTTTTCACATAGTCCCACATTTCTTGGAGACTTTTTGCACTTTTTTCTCTAATCTTGGTTTCTCATTTTATTTTATTGAGTTGATCTTCGACTTCTGATATTCTTTCTTCTGCTTGATCAATTCAGCTGTTGAAACACAGTTCTTGTGTTGTTTTTCAGCTCCTTCAATTCATTCATATTCCTCTCTAAGTTGTCCATTCTTGTTATCATTTCCTCGAATCGTTTTTCAAATCTCTTTTCAAGGTTCTTAGTTTATTTGCATTGATTTAGAACATGTTCTTTTAGCTCACGGAAGTTTCTCATTACCCACCTTCTGAAGTCTGATTCCATCATTTCATCACCCTCATTCTCTGTCCAGCTTTGTTCCCTTGCTGGTGAGGAGTTTTGGTCTTTTGTAGGAAGCGAGGTGTTTTGGTTTCGGGTGTTTTCCTCCTTTCTGCGTTGGTTTCTTCCCATCTTTGTGGGTTTATCCACCTGTGGTCTGACTAGTTGCTGACTTTCCTATTGGGTCTCTGAGTGGACGCCCAGATTGTTGATGGTGAAGTATTTCTTTTGCTTAGTTTTCCTTCTAAGAGTCTAGCCCCTCTGCTATATGACTGCTGAGGTCCATTCCAAGCCCTGCTTGTCTGGGGTACACCTGTAGCAGCTGCAGAACAGTGAGGGATGCTACCAGTTTCTTCTTCTTCTATCTTTGTACCAGAATGATGCCCACCAAATGTCAGTCTGATCAGTCCTTTTTCAGGTGACTCTTTGGATATACAGGGGTCAGGGAGCTGCTTGAGGAGACTGTCTGTACTTTATAGGAGCTCACATGCTGAGCTGTGAGCTCTGTTGTTCATTCAGGACTGTTAGGCAGATACTTTTAAGTCTGCTGCAGCAGAACTCATAAAACCCTTTTTTTTCCTCAGATGCTCTGTCTCAGGGCGTTAGGGCTTTCTTTATGAGTATCCATTGTACTTTCCTGCCCAGCTAGGAGGCAGTCTAGTCACTATTTGCCTGCCGAGGCTTTGCCCTGTTAGCATTGGCTCCGCCCTACTGTCGTGGGCTCTGCTCTGTTGCCTTGCACTTCGCCCTGTTACTGTGGGCTCCACCCTGCTGTTGTGGGGTCCACTCTGTTGCCTCTGTATTGTCGGAGTCTCTCTGTTATGGCGGGTTGCCTCGGCAATGGCAGGCTGCATAAGCAATGGGAGTATATTCTGCCTCCGTAGGGGCAGAATGCCTCGGCAATGTCAGTCGCCCCTCCCCCACCAAGATGCACCGTCTCGGGCTCAGTTGTGTCTGCAGTGAAACTCTCAACCCCGAGCATATCGAATTCTTGCCCTGCTTGTCCGTGTGGGGGTGGGACCTGCCGAGCCTGGTCACCTGGCTCGCCACCTCAGAGCCCCTCTTTTTCCCTTTCCTAAGTTGAATGGTTGACTCTCTCCCAGGTATTTCAGTCGCCTGCTGATATGGGACTGGAGTCCGTGCAATTTCCCGTGCAGCGACCCACTGCGCCGGCTCAAATGTTGCCTCCCGGGAATCTCCTGGTTTGGCTCACTGTCCAAGTCCCATTCAATCAGATGGATATGCTAATCTGCCCTCCCAAATCTCAGATTGCTGGTTTAACAGGGCATCCAGACCAGTGCGCCTTGTGCAGAGTGCCGCTGTGCTGCAAGTGCCGTTGCGCTGCGGCGCCGGCCGAAATGGCAGCACTGGCCAAAACAGCCACGCCGGCGTTCTGTGTCTCTCCTACACTTGGGAATCCCCCCCGTTCTGTGGGCAACAAAGATCTGTTTGAAAATGCGGCCTGAACTCACCCTCTGCGCCTTCACTGAGAGCCGCAACCCCGAGCTGCTCCTACCCTGCCATCTTCCGGGTCTCCCTTTTCCATGAAATTCTTTATGTGGCTGGAGTGTTTATGAAAATTTTTGACCTAAACAATTGTCATATTAGTTTATAATTTCCAGGAGGGCAGAGGCCTTATCTTTCCTATATTTTTCTGTACCTTTACCAACTGGTACATGTGACAGACACTCAATAAATACTTGTTTGTCTGTAGATTGTGAATGAATAAACCTAAAATATTCACATTGTTGAAAAACACTACTCTGGATAGTCAGTGGGTGCTTGTTACTGGCTTGGCTATGGCAACATTAGCAAAACAGAGTGCAATATTTTAGAAACTAGATTTCAAGAGTCTCGACCTTTCAGTGGCCTTAACTATCAAGAGAACAAACACTTCATGGGTTAAAATTGCTGAACGATAACAGAGAAAAAAGGGAGCCAGAGTAGTCCACCTCTCCTGAGGATGAGAACAAACAATCATGCAGCAGATACCGTGTGATTGCTCACAGGAAGACAAATCTGGCAGCCTTAAGATTACTTTCTAGCTGGGGATTCCCACCACCATGCTCATGTATAGATGTGCACACCAAAACACACACATGCAGGTGGCCTCCACTTTACACAAGAAGCAAATGTAAATGAATCTTGTTTTCTGTGATTAGAGAAATGATTCAGGTGAGCCATTACTAATCTGTTTCTAAACGCAAAGTCCTTCTCTGATGGTAGTATTTACACTCTCATTTGTAAATGTTGAAAGGTAAGTTTTGTATTTGAGTTGGCTTTAAGCTTCACACATCTGTGTAAATGGGCCTTCTGTTGGTAGGGGGAGAATTTGGATTTCCTTTGTAGATAGAGTTGGCAATTTTTTAGAGACGCATTTACTACTAAGTCATGAGAAAGAATCACTGATGCATTATTAGAGAGGAACAGGGAGAAGAAATGGTGAGCTGATGTAGGGTCATGCCACATTTAGTAACTGTTAGTTTCCCACTCAGGAAATACATCATTTTTAGCTTCCAGATCCCACTCCAATCTGAGTGTGTGATGTTGGCAAATGGGGCAGAGAGTGTCTCGGCTTACTCTCTACTGGGATGGGAGTTCACAGTAAATGTCATTCAACAGTGACTTGGTCTGGGGGTACAGCCTATATTAATATTGAGAAGATAAATACACTAACTTTGTTTAGAGAATTATCCCCCAAGCTTAGAAGTCCCAACAAAGTACATTAATTCACTTCCAGTAAAGTCTCAGGCTCCTCTGCTTTTGTGACCTTCTCAGGCCCTGATCTCAGCTTGTGTCTATAAGAGGGGACAGGTCCAGCCTGGCTGGCTCTCTAATTATTTTTACTTTTTTCATTGCAGTTTATTCAGGATGATAACATGGAGAAGCTTGAGGAAATTATTGAAAAATACCCTCGTGCCTTCCCTTTGTGGATTGGGCCTTTTCAGGCATTTTTTTATATCTGTGACCCAGACTATGCAAAGACAGTTCTGAACAGAACAGGTAAGAAGAGGGGCAAATCTCTGGGACCTATTCCTCCTAGAAGTGAAATGCACAAAACCCCACAGGCAGTATTCCAAAGTGAAGTTTAGTTTTGGGTCTTTAAGAGACACAAGAGCAAGTGTGGAGAGGTGACAGGTTTCCTACCAATACAGAAGGTGATTCTCATGTCCTCCCCAGTCTCTTGTCTTGTTCAGGACTGCATGGGCACGTTGAGGTTAGTGTAACCTAAAGCCCAGCTGGCATTACCAGGCTTGCCAAGAAAGGGTTCCCTTGGCCTCTCTGGGCTTTATGACTTCAGTGTCAGGAACACTTCCCACTCCTACCCTTGGTCTCGAGGATCAGTCTCAAGAGGGTGGAGAATCAGCAGTAAGTCCACTTCTGCTGGTTCAGTATGTAAGCCTGAATGCTAGATCATTAATTTACTCACCAAACCTCTCGGTTGTGATCCAAACTTTAGTTTTCCTCACGTGTTTCTCAACTACATAGTTTTCAGGTATGAGTCATCTACCTCCCCCACCCAATCCTTGTTTAAGGCTTTCATTGTGGATCATTTTATAGCATAATACTAAAATGTCCAGTTCTTTCCCTGTCAACTTTGTAAAATGAAGGTTTTTATATTCCAGATTTTCCTGTGCCATTGTATCCACCACTCCCAATAAAACCTAATAAAAGAAAAGAGCCTTGCCCCGACTATCTCCATGTTTCCAGTCCCCTGCTCTGATTTGTCTCATGTTCACCTGTTAAGGACAAGAACAGTAGAACACCTCCACTTTGGGGTTCACAAAAACACCAAGAGGCATTGGCACCTCAGTACCTGGTGTCTGCTGGCATCTGCTCTGATCCTTAATTTGCCTTCCATAAAGGATATATGTTGTCTCAGCTATGGTTATGGAAACATTGCAACCTTCCGGCAAACTCCATTTCTGCTGAAGGAAGTGTAAACGGGAAGAATCAGGGTTTGTGTACATGTCTGCCTCTTAGGGCTTGCTGTTCTCTGAAACTGAACCAAAACTAACACAGGTCTTTCCCCAGGCTGCCAAAGGCAGCAGGAAGTAAGCCCTGGGCTCTCTTTTGCTCACTATTTGTGGTTGGTGCAGGAAAATGCAGAAAAACTGTCACCAACGTGAACTGATAATGAATGCTCCCTCTAATGATGTCTTTTGTTTCCTCTGTTTGACTCTGCAGACCCCAAGTCCCAGTATGTACAGAAATTCTTATCTCCTCTTATTGGTATGTATGTGCAAATGAGAGTTATGACCCACTCTCATTCAAAGTCCCCTTTCCATAGTAGAGCATGCCCAGGGAAATCAAATCTGAATTCAGAAGCATTAAGAGTATAAGGTGGAGCAACACTGAAAGTTATCTAGGGGAAAGATTCAAGGGCAGCTCTAAAGTCAACACAACACCACTTCCCAGGAAGCTTCTTCATTCATTTCTCTCCCCAAGAGTCGTATTCTCAAGGCAGCAGATATGTGAATCAGTCCCATCTCTCTTTAAAACTACAATCTCGGCCTGGCACAGTGGCTCATACCTGTTTTCCCAGCACTTTGGGAGACCGAGGCAGGAAGATCACTTGAACCCAGGAGGCAGAGGTTTCAGTAAGCCTAAAGAGCACCACTGCACTCCAGATTAGGTGACAAAGCAAAACTCTCTCCACTCCCAACACACACACACACACACTGCAGTCTCTCCATCCCTATTCTTGTTTTCTTTATCCTTCTGTTGTGTTTTCTTGGATGTTTTCCTTTCTTTTTGGAGTTCCCGTATTTCCACATGCAAGTCAGTAAAATTTTGCTCTAGAGATTGGCAATATTCCGTCAGCAGATAAATTAAGCTCTTTAATCACATAATTGGTATTTATGTTAGACAAAACATGAATTAAAGAAAAGAATATAGGCTTGTATTAGGAACCAGTCAGATTTGAATCTTGCCCCCTCCTGCACGGACTAGATAAATAGCATTTTGGGGAAGTCATTTACTCTCTCCATGTCTCAGTTTCCTCATCTTTGACAATAAGGATGAGAGTCACATTGCGGGGCTGTTATGAGAATTAAATGAAATACATATGTTTAACAGTAAATGAAACAGCCAACATTGTACAAGTGACAGATTATGTATCACGGGTCTGGCATGTTGTAAGCACTCAGTGAGTGGTATCGATTATGTGCTAATAAACTTTAAAGTCCTTTAAAACCAAATCCTAATGATCAGTCTGGCAGTAGAAGATTGTGAAGCATTTGTCTTATAAGTATTTCCTCGCAGCATCATTCACAGACCAGGGCTCAAGGGGGGAGTATCAGGGGACAGAGTGGATGTTCTTGTCATAGGTTCCTTGTGAATTTTTGCCCATCATATAGTTTATGGATTGGTTTGGAGTGGAAAGGAAAGGAATTCATTTGCTGTGTTTCTAGTGTGAGCTAGGGAGTAGGTTGGCTACCTTATGTATGCACTTTCAGTTAATCTACGTAGCAACACATGGAAATAGGTATTTAGTATCATAGTTCATTGTTGAGAAAACTAAACCTCAGGAAGGTTAAGTCACTTATTCAGTTACTACATAGATAGTAACTGGTGATTACAGGATTAACCTTCTCATCTTATCAGGCTTTGAAACTTATTAGACTTTGAAACTCTTTCTCACAATATTAAATACGTCCATCCCAGAAGTAAGCTTCTAAATTCGCCTTCATCTATTAAGAGGCATTGTATTTTAATATGAGCACTACTTGGATATTCCACTATTTCATGACTGCCTGTGGGTCATGGTTACTCCATGCTGCCTGTGCTCCTCATCTCATCTAATGAAATAGCATAAGGTTTTCTGCCTTTTCTTTCTCAAGGAAAAGGACTAGTGGCTCTAGACGGACCCAAGTGGTTCCAGCATCGTCGCCTACTAACTCCTGCATTCCATTTTAACATCCTGAAAGCATACATCGAGGTGATGACTCATTCTGTGAAAACGATGCTGGTAAGTGAAGGGGGAAAGTACTCTGGTGCCTTGCAAAATGCTCAGTGGACAGTATTAGGTATATGTTTCATAGATCATGAAAATAAAAAAATCAGTTTCTAAAAACTTAACCAATGTACAAGTACTCATTGAGCAATAGGTGTCTGTAAAAACTTGTTATGTTATTTGGGTGATAATATTAATAAAAAGAAGATCTGGTCCTCTGTCATGGATATGTTTTGAGATTTTATGGCAATAAATCAAGTACCAAATGGTGACAGATAGTAAGTGCTATAGGTTTGTTTCATGGAGTGCAGGTCTGTACAAACCTACCCCAAAGTCTGAGGAAACTGAGAGGCTGAAGAAAAAGGCTGACAGTTTCTTATAAAGAAACATTTAATAGAGGCTTTCAAAGAAAAACCATGGCTGTTTCACACAGTGATGAGACAAGATGATGGATCCCTGAACCATTACCCTCCAACCCAGGGGACCACGGGGAGGGGCACACGTGCTTCAGAGGAAATTATTAGTAGTAAGAATTTGCCCTAAGGGCAAGATTTATGGTAAGTACATGCTCTGATGCAGTGAACAGCAGATCAACTGAAAATCTCAGAGCTTTCCCAGAACTAGAGTTAATTGGAACTCAAGATGGCAGATTAGCTTCCAAGATGGAGCTGCATTAACCTCCACAAGGTGACAGGTAAAGATGGCAGGAGGAGCTATAACAGCTTCAAATTCAGCGGAAACTCAAATCAAGCTGGACTTGAATATGTAGACAGTATGGATGAGAGTATTCAAGGCAGGGTCAGTCAGCATGGAAAAAGGTTTGGAGATTATCATGGACTTGCCCAATGGCTATAAAGGACCAAGGAAAAGAGAATGTCTGTATTAAAGTTGCAGATATGAATTTCTTCTTGTAAATGGTAGAGGATCATTAGGTCTTGACCTGCACCTTTCAAGGAATCATAAAGGCATTGTAGAGAAACATGCCTGTGAGTGGTCTCTGATTTATAAATAAGTTCTATTCCAAAACTCTAAATATACAGTGGTTTGAATTTTTAAGTCGTATTTTTTTTTGAAATCAGACAAGTAATTCACTAATACAGTTTCATCATAAACACTTCAAACACCACAAACAAAGGCAAAGTTTTCCTCCCACTTCATGTGCAAACCTATCCCTCTTCCCATGCAAACCACTATTACCAGCTCAATGACTGGGTTCTCAGCCAAACTTACAGAAGCAGTTTGAACCCAAAGTCGGCCAGGATTGTGGTTAAAAACAACAGTATGAGTTCTCAGGGCAGAGACCCAGAGACTGTGCGGTGCAAGCTAACGAGAGAGGAGAGCAACTTTTTCTGATTCTAGTGCTGTTCAGCTGCAGCACAATTTCAAATCCTCCCGTGATTGCATCGGAGTTTTCTCTCCATTTTTTGGGGCACTTTCTTCTCCACTCATTTCTCAGCCACATATTTCTCTGGGATTTTTCTTACAACTTCCTTCCTCTGTTGAATCATTCCAGAGTTTCTCAAGCATGGAAGCCTCCTGCTTGCTCTCATTTCTTCTAAATTCACTATTTGTTCTCAGTAAAACTCACATAGCCTAGATAAAGATTCTTTGACTAAAGAATGGCATTTGGTGAAAAGTTTTAAAAATTCTCTTTGCCTTTGTGGTTGGTACCAAGTCCCTGAAATTTTGAAAGTTCAGGTTGACAGATAGATCTTGAGCTAGGTGCTAGGTGCTTAAGATCTGTCAGTCAACCTGAACTTTTACAATTTCAATTTATTTTAATTTTTACACAAAGTATGATTATTATGGCAAATATTCAACCAGGGACTTTGTCACAATTTTTAAATGTCAGGCAATGCATTTCAAGCAGTATGAGTAGGTCTCTTTGTGTGGAAGTTAAGCCAGGTCGGGCTTCACTGGGAGCCAGCTCCCTGTAGCAGCTCCTCTCCATACTTGCTCTCTGTTTACCACTTTTGAATCCAAAATGTTTTTGAAAATGTTCTGAGTTTATTTTAAAGGTGCTTATGGTGGTTGAGAGCAGTGGCAGGGCATCTAGCAAGTTTGGAATTGAAGATGGAGGAAGCCCTGGGGTAAACCCCTTGTAATTATGCGTCTTGTACTAATGATTGTCTGTTTTAATGGAACTCTGGTCTATATGAAAGTAGAGTTATGGTAATAATTGAAAAGTCACAAATGCTTAACTCAGCCATTTACCATATATGCAGTTTTCTCCGTGCTCCTTCTCACTCTGCTGGGCATTTTTTCCCTTCCTCATGCCCTGTGTAAGCACATGGCTTATTCACTCATGTGACCTTTTCATTCCTGCTGGGTCAGGTTTGCCTCCCTTGGATCATAAAGGCAAGGCTAGGCAGAAGCCTTCAAATGAAGGCAGTTTGGTCATGGTGGTGGTGATGATGTCGATCTTGACCTCCTATGCCAGGATAAGTGGGAGAAGGTTTGCAGCACTCGGGACACAACCGTGGAGGTTTATAAGCACATCAACTTGATGTCTCTGGATATAATCATGAAATGCACTTTCAGCAAAGAGACCAACTGCCAGACAAACAGGTCAGTGGTGGGAGAGCAAAAAACATATTTCCTCCCATTTTCTAAGTTGTTTATTAACACGTTATCTCAACTTTCTCTTCTAGCACCCATGATCCTTATGAAAAAGCTATTTTTGAAGTCAGCAGAATTGTATTTCAACGCTTGTACAGTTTCTTGCATCACAGTGACATAATTTTCAAACTCAGCCCTCAGGGCCACCGCTTCCAGAAGTTAAACCAAGTGCTGTATCAGTACACAGGTATTTGTTAGGTTTGGTTGCCCACATCCATTCGCAGTCATGATTGTACTGTGTCTGTCTAGAGGGATAAACCTTAATATGACAAGAGAAAGAATATTTGTTATTAATGGACCTTAATATAGACACTTCTCCAAAGAAATTTGACTGAGTTCTTTAGAAGACTTCGCTTCAACCATAGCAGTAAGTCTTACCAGAATTTTTATATACTATAGCATATAGTATATACTATTTACTATATACTAAGTATGCACTATATACGATTTACTATATACTAAGTATGCAGTATATACTATTTAGTATATACTAAGTATATAAATATATGCTAAGTAGTATATAGTATGTACTAAGTATACGTATTCAAAACTTTAAAGTAAAACCTTTTCCTTTTTTTTTTGAGATGGCATTTCTTTCTGTTGCCCAGGCTGGAGTGCAGTGGTACAATCTCAACTCACTGCAACCTCCACTTCCTGGGTTCAAGCATTTCTCCTATCTCAGTCTTCTGAGTAGCTGGGATTATAGCACCCACCACCACACCTGGCTAACTTTTGAAAATTATTTATTTTTATGTAGTCAGATTTATCAATATTTTGTTTTATTGCATCTGGACTTCTAGTAATCACAAAAAGCCATTCTCTATTCCAGGGTTTCTCAACCCTTGGCACTAATGGCTTCTTGGATTAGATAAGCCCTTGTCAAGACCTGTGCATTGTAGGATGTTTAGCTACATCCCTGACATCTACCCACTCAATGTAGGAGAGCTCTGATAGCTGTGGCAACCAAAAGTAACTCCAGATGTTACTGAATGTCCACAGGGCCAAAGTTGCCCCCAGTTGAGAACCCTGTACCCAGGTTGTAGAGAAAATTATTTATGTCTTCTTGTGGTGCTTGTATGATTTCATTCTTTTTGCTTTTAGATCAGAGATCTAAACTCCATTTAGAGTTTATTCCTATATATGGTGTGAGGTATTGATCTAATTTTACCAAATGGATATCCAGTTGTCCCATCATCATTATCATTATTTAAAAGTTTATCTTTTCAAGTGATTTAAAATAATCATCTTTATCACATTCCAAATAGAAATGTGTACTTGTATCTATTTTGGATGAGCGTATATTTGGATATTCTTTTGTATTCCATTGGTCTATTTGCCAATGTACTAAAATCACAGTGTTTCAATTAAGGAGATTTTGTGGGGTTTTTTCAACTTTAATAGATTTTACTTTTAGAAAAGTTTTAGGTTTGCAGAAAAATTGGGCAGAAAGTACAGAGAGTTCTCCTATTACCCATGTAACAAACCTGTACATGTACCCTTGTGTCTAAAATAAAAGTTGAAATTTAAAAAATACTATATAAATATTACCTCTGTTCCAAAGTTTTGGTTTTTTCTTTCAGTTCCTTCAATTATAAATATATCAGCATTTCTTTGCCTGTCTTCTATTTTATTTCATTTTATTTAATAACTTTTTCATGAAAATAAAATATTAGACTGAGGAAGTAAATAATGATGGGTCACTTGCATCTAAACTTGAAATCATCTTAATTTTATTGCCCACATACTGATAGAAACTGTGGTTTTGATCTGTGTTATTTATCTTTGGAGCTTTGGTCAAAAGTCCCTTTCATGGGGAAAATAAACCATCTGTGAAAATAAGACCTCTTTAAACATCTGGAAATCAGGCAAGATTTGAATCTATACATTAACCATGGGTTACTTCATAATTTATTTGACTTTGCTGTCACTTTGGTAATTGGAAATTATTTTTCTGCCCAGATACGATAATCCAGGATAGAAAGAAATCCCTCCAGACTGGGGTGAAGCAGGATAACACTCAGAAGAGGAAGTACCAGGATTTTCTGGATATTGTCCTTTCTGCCAAGGTAAATCATCTAAATTTCTAAGCCTGCTCAAGTGGCTAGTTAATTATCTTATTAGGTGGGTAAGTGGGAATGGGATGGGGAGACAAAAATAAAACTGATTGATTAAATTTAACCATACTTTGAATTGATGAGTGGCTTCATGCAATTTGAGACAAAAAATTCTGCAACTCTGTCACTAGAGGAGGATCAGTAAAGACTAAATGAAGGATTTGACAAGATTTGGGGATGTCATATGGATACATGGATTTCAGGGGATCATGAAAAAATTGTCACATGGATAAACATATAAAATTGTGATGATAAGGTCCTGGGAAATCTGGGAGTTTGAAGAGAATTTCTAGGGCCTGCTGATTGAAGGCCCTCTTTGCAAGGCCTGCTTTTCTTATCTAACCTTGGTTCTCCTTTATACTTTGGGCAGAATATGGCTTATAGCACATATTTACTGAACTGAATTAAAATTTAAACCCCTATTTGAAACTCTTATTTTTCCCCTAAAATCATTATTGTGATCATATCTCCAAACATTTATAAACTGATACTTTAATTAAAATATCTGTATTGTATTTCCTAGGATGAAAATGGTAGCAGCTTCTCAGATACTGATGTACACTCCGAAGTCAGCACGTTCTTGTTGGCAGGACATGACTCTGTGGCAGCGAGCATCTCCTGGGTCCTTTACTGCCTGGCTCAGAACCCTGAGCATCAAGAGAGATGCCGGGAGGAGGTCAGGGGCATCCTGGGGGATGGGTCTTCTATTACCTGGTAAGAGCTAAAACCTAAAGTTTTCATCCTAGTTTTCCCTCTGAGATTTTGCTTTATTTTTTGCCCTGGTACCTTAGTGACTCTAGTGCCTCAGGATATGTGTAGGTGGAAACAGCAGAAGTAGGCTACTTCTCCGTTCTTTCTGAAAAGAGCTCAAAATTATTCTCTTCTCTTTTGAAAAAAAAAGTTTATTCATCCATAAATTGTCTGTCATCGATTTTCTAGTCAATGGTGTGTGAAATATCTTATTTCTTTATTTCACCTTGGCTCTGATGCATTGGAAGTGAGGACTTGATCCCTATGTTGGCACTTAAAACTTAAGTAATAAGGTTCAAGTGGAGCTCCTCTTCTGAGAGAGCTGAATGATTAGCTGCATTATTTAAGGTTCATTGTAGATGTCTTCTCCCATCCTCTTGTCATGAATTTTATTCCTCAGGATTGATTTTAGACTTCAAACATAATATTGGATGATATATACTATAGTTGACGTTAGCAAATATGTACTGAGGACATTTTAAATACTGAGACATATTTTTTTGAAAGAGGAAGAAAAAGAGGGAGAGAAAATGGGAACGTAGCTTTATTCTACAAATGGGTATGAATAATGGCCAATCAATATTTTGGGTATTTAAGGTGGAGAAAGTATATTCTGTGTATTTAAAATGGAGAGCTCTATAAATATTTATTGAGTTTACTTGTTCCAGATCTGAGTTCAAGTCCTGGATATCCTTATTAATTTTCTGTCTCGTTGAGTCTAAATCTCTTTATGAGTCTTGTGTATCTGGGTGTTAGGATCATTAGCTCTTATTGTTGCATTGATCCTTTTACCACTATATCTTTGTTGCTTTGAAATCTATTTTATCAGATGCGAGAATTGCAACTCCTACTTTTTATTTATTTATTTTTGCTCTCCATTTGGTTGGCAAATCTTTCTCCATCCCTTTGTTTTGAGTCTTTATGTATCTTTGGCTGTGAAATGGGTCTGGATGTAGCATGTCGTTAGGTTTTGGCTATATCTTTTGATTGGGGTATTTAGTTGACTTAAATTTAGGGTTACTGCCATTTGATGTTAACTGGCTATTTTATCCATTCGTTGATGTAAATTCTTCTTTATGTTGATGCTCTTTACTTTTTGGTATATTTTTAGAAAGGCTAATACTGGTTGTTCCTTTCTATGTATAATGCTTCTTTCAGAAGCTCTTGTAAAGCCGACCTGGTGGTAATAAAATCTCTGAGTACTTGCTTGTTCATAAAAGATTTTATTTTTCCTTCAATTGTGAAGCTTAGTTTGGCAGGATATGAAATTCTGGGCTGAAAGTTCTGTTCTTTAAGCATGTTGAATATCGGCCCCCACTCTCTTCTGGCTTGTAGGGTTTCTGCTGAGAGATCTGCTGTAAGTCTAATAGGCTTCCCTTTGTGGGTGACCTGACCTTTCTCTCTGGCTGCCCTTAGTATTTTCTCCTTCATTTCAACCCTGGTGAATCTAACGATTATGTGCCTTGGGGTTGCTCTTCTTGAGGAATATCTTTGTGGTGTTCTCTGTATTACCTGGGGTTGAATATTGTGCTGCTTTGCTAGATTCGGAAAGTTTTCCTGAATAATATCCTGAAGAGTATTTTCCAGCTTGGATTCATTCTCTTCATCATATTCAGGTACACCTATCAAACGTAAATTAGGTCTTTTCACATAGTCCCATATTTCTTGGAGACTTTGCTCATTCCTTTTTATCCTTTTTTCTCTATTCTTGTCTTCTCATTTTATTTCATTAAGTAGGTCTGATATCCTTTCTTCTGCTTGATCAATTCGGCTATTCAAACTCGTGCATATTTCGCTAAGTTTTTGTGTTGTGTTTTTCAACTTCGTTAGTTCATTTATATTCCTCTCTATATTGTCTATTCTTGTTAGCATTTTGTCAAACCTTTTTTCAAAGTTCTTAGTTTCTTTACATTGGGTTAGAACAAGTTCTTTTAACTCCCAGAAGTTTCTTATCATCCATCTTCTGAAGCCTACTTCTGATAATGGCACACAGTCCTTTTCCATCAGGGCTTGTTCCATTGCTGATGAGGAACTGTAATCCTCTGTAGAGGGAGAGGGGTTCTGATTTTGGGTATTCTCGGCCTTTTTAGGCTGGTTTCTTCCCTTTGTTATAAATTTATCCATCTGTCGTCTTTACAACTACCGCCTTTATAGTTGGGTTTCTGAGTGGACGCCCAGTTTATTGATTTCCAGCGCTGGAATCTGAGCAACCCACTGCGCCGGCCAAAACAGCAGCAATAAGACTGATGGTGCTCTTCTGCCCGGGAATCTCCTCCCATTTACTCTGCATGAAGAGCTGCCACGCCGAGGCGCCAGCAAAACTGCTGCGCTGGTCACAAGAGTCACGCTGGCGACCCGTGGGGCGCCTTCACTGGGAATATTCTGGTCTGTGAGTGACAAAAATTCATCTGAAAGTGTGGCGTCCTCTCATTCTCTGCACTTTCACTGGGAGCTACAATCCCGAACTGTTAGCGATCAGCCATCTTAGATCTCTCTGACATTTTCTTAATGACTACGATTTATTGTGGGCCCTGTCTTCAGTGGTCTAATATAGGAGGCAGGAGATAGACTTCCATATTGCAGCACAGCATGACAAGTTAATGATAGCGATATGTGCTGGCACAAAGACACAGGCACCTACCCTGGCATGGGAGCTCAAGGAGACTTCCTTGGGTATATGACACTTAACCTGACTATTACAGGATGAGTAAGAGTTAGCCAGGTGGAAAATGTCATCTCTATTTTGCTAGACTTTAAGCATATCTTGCTGTTAATAAAGCCCAGGTTATGCTGTTTGCAAAGATAAAATATGTTCCTGACATAGTCTGGTCAAAGGGACAGAAAAATATAAATGCTATGAACAACTCAGCTGCATGACTAGATAAAAAACGCCATATTTCCCATGCAAAAGTCAGCTTAATTGGAACATTGGTAAAACCAAATTTGCCATTATAAGGGTATAGTAGAGATCTAATTTTATAAGAAAATAGAAGTACTTTCCTAGCGTAAACTAAAGGTTTAATCTCTATAGCACAAAATACAATGTTGAGCGATCATTTTTAATTTTTTTAAGTGACAAAAATTGTGCATATATGTGTTATGTATGTGTGTATACATGGCATACAATATGATCTTTTGATAAATGTATTCATTGTAGAACGACTTAATCTATCAATGGACATGTCCATTAACTCATACTTACCATTTTTTTGTGGTGAGGACATTTAAAATCTACCCTCTTAGCAATTTTCAAGTATACAAATTGTTATTAATTCCAATCACATATTGTTCAATGCATCTCCTATACTTATTCCTTCTGTCTGACTGAAATTTTGTATATTTTGATTAATTCCCTGTAATCCCCCATTCTCCCACAGCCCCTGGTAACTGCTATTCTACTCTCTGCCTCTATGAGTTTGATGTTTTAGATTCCACATGTGAGATTATGTGGAATTGTCTTTCTGTGCCTGGCTTATTTCACTTATCATAATGTCCTCCAAATTCATCTCTGTTGTCATAAATGACAAGATATCCATCTTTCCTATGGTGAATTAGTATTCCATTATTTATATATATATCACTTTTTAAAAATTTTTAATTATAGTTTAAGTTCTCGGATACATGTGCAGAACATGTGGGTTTGTTACATAGGTATACACATGCCATGATGGTTTGCTGCACCCCTCAATCTGTCATCTACATTAGGTATTTCTCCTAATGCTATCCTTCCCCTAGCCCCTCACCCCGCAACAGGCCCCAGTGTGTGATGTTCTCCTCCCTGTGTCCATGTGTTCTCATTGTTCAACTTCCACTTATGAGAGAGAATATGTGGTGTTTGGTTATCTGTTCTTGTGTTAGTTTGCTCAGAATGATGGTTTCCAGCTTCATCCACATCCTACAAAGGACATGAACTCATCCTGTTTTATGGCAGCATAGTATTCCATGGTATATATGTGCCACATTTTCTTTATCCAGTCTATCATTGATGGGCATTTGGGTGGGTTCCAAGTCTTTGCTATTGTGAACAGTGCTGCAGTAAACATATGTGTGCATGTGTCTTTTTAATAGAATGATTTATAATCCTTTGGCTATATACCCAGTAATGAGACTGCTGGGTCAAATGGTTTTAGATTTTGAGAAATCACCACTGTCTTCCACAATGTTTGAACTAATTTACACTACCACCAACAATGTGAAAGTGTTCCTACTTTTTGCTGTGCAGAAGCTTTTTTGTTTAATTAGGTCCCATTTGTCAATTTTGGCTTGTGTTGCCATTGCTTTTGGTGTTTTAGTTATGAAGTCTTTGCCCATGCCTATGCCCTGAATGGTATTGCCTAGGTTTTCTTCTAGGGCTTTTATGATTTTAGGTCTTATGTTTAATCCATCTTGAATTAATTTTTGTGTGAGGTTTAAGGAAGTCATCCAGTTTCAGTTTTCTGCATATGGCTAGCCAGTTTTTCCAGCACCATTTATTGACTAGGAAATCCTTTCTGCATTGCTTTTTTTGTCAGGTTACTCAAAGATTAGATGGTTGTAGATGTTCGGCATTATGTCTGAGGCCTCTGTTCTCTTCTATTGGTCTATATATCTGTTTTGATACCAGTACCATGTTATTTTGGTTACTGTAGCCTTGTAGTATAGTTTGAAGTCAGGTAGCTTGATGCCTTCAGCTTTGTTCTTTTTGCTTAGAATTATCTTGGCTATACAGGCTCTTTTTTGGTTCCATATGAAATTTAAAGTAGCTTTCTCTAATTCAGTGAAGAAAGTCGATGGTAGCTTGATGGGGATAGCACTGAATCTATAAATTACTTTTGGCAGTATGGCCATTTTCACAATATTGATTCTCTATGCTAGAGATAGAAGTAATTAACATACCACCACTACATTATTAGGGTATTCTAAATTGACTATGTATTTACCTTTACCAGTGAAATTTTTATTTTCAATTTTCATGTTGTTAATTAGTATTCTTTTATTTCAAGTTGGAGAATCCACATCAGCATTTTTTAGGTGAGTCTGGTAATAATGAACACCCTCAACTTTTGTTTATCTGGAGATGTTTTTATCTCTCCTTTGTTTTGAAAGATAACTTTGCCAGATATGGTATTCTTGATTAGCAGGTTTTTTCTTTTTCTTCAGCTTTTTGAATGTCTCATTCTACTCCCTCCTAGCTTGCAAGATTTCTTCTGATAATTCTTCTCATAACCTTATTGTCATCTCTTGTATGTGATGAGTCCCTTCTCTTACTGCTTTCTAGATTCTTTCTTTGTCTTTCATTTACTTTTGACAATTTGATATAATGTGCCTCCATTTATTTTCATTTGGTTTGGTCTTAACTTAGAGTCCTTTGATCTTCATAAACCTGAGTGTTCATATCCTTTCCAATATTTGGAACATTTTCAGCTGGTGTTTTTAAAATAATATTTCTTCAACTTTCTTTCTTCTTCTGTAATCCCTATAATTTGTATATTTGTATGTTTGATGGTATCCCATAAGTCCCTTAGGTTTTCTTTATTTTATTCTTTTTTGTTTTTGTTGTTGTTTCTTTGATTGATAATTTCAAATGACTTGTCTTTGAGTTCACTGATTCTTTCTTCTTCATGATTGAGTCTGCTGTTTAAGGTCTTTACTGAATTATTCAGATCTGTCATTGTATTTGTCAAAATTCAACCCCTCACACATGCACCTTCCAGTGATGTCAGTGGATCAGCCTACTGGGGCACTGACAGGTGTGTCTCCCCACCAGTTCCTTTGTGGGCAGGTCTACTCTCAAGTCACAGCTGAGAGGGGCTAACACTGCTTCTCAGGGACATATCAGAATCTGATTTGGGGCCAAGGTTTTCAAGTCTACCTCGGGGACACAGACAGGCATGTCACCCAGCAGGTTTCTGGCCAGGTAAAACTGCTCTTAGACCATAGTTGAGTGGAGCTTGGGCTAAGATGAAGTGCTATTTCAGGGCCTACTGGGGGACCAGGGTTGTCAAGTCTGACCAGGTTGTTTGGGGAAATGTGTCTCTCCCTCTGGGTTGTTGTGAGCAGGACAGATCACAGACCACAGCTCAGGGGCTGGAACTGAGTTAGAGGGGCATTTCTGAATCCAAAGCTGAGATCAAGGTGGACAGACCTGTCTCCTGAGGCACTGATGGGCTTGAATCCTGCTGGGCCCCTTGGTCAATGGTTTCAGTAGTAGGACCAAGCCAAACAGAGCTATAACTGAGCCGGGAGGGAGATAGTGCCATTTCAGGGTCTGGAGCAAGATCAGAGTTGGCAAGTCTCCCACCTGAGTACAGTTCTGCCCTCTCAAAATCCCTCTTAGGCTCCACGAGTGTTTCAAGTACTCCTACCTAAATCCCAAGGCTCCCACAAAGGCACTTTATAAATAGCTATGAAATTATTAGTATTATTTTTTGAAACGGAGTTTCGCTCTTGTTACCCAGGCTGGAGTGCAATGGCGCGATCTTGGCTCACTGCAACCTCCGCCTCCAGGGTTCAGGCAATTCTCCTGCCTCAGCCTCCCGAGTAGCTGGGATTACAGGCTTGAGCCACCGCGCCCGGCCCAGCTATGAAATTATTATACCTGTAGGGGGATCCAAGTGGGGGACCTCCTCTTCTCTCATCTTGCTAAGTAATCACTTTTAGTCATTCATTAAATTTGTAAACATTGTATATCACATTCCAACATGAATTAGATATTTTGATGTTGATTAGAGTAGATATTTACACAACTCAAATATTGACTTTTCTCATTCTCATTTGGCTTAAATGTGAAAACAATTTTAAAAAGTCCTTTCTAGGGAGAAAACAAAGTCCAGAAGATTTATTAGGTATATTTCATTTTAATGAGAGAATGGCAATAATATTATAGAGAAAAAATATTTTTACTTGATAATATGTACTTATAGCTCTGTTTAATGAAATTTACACGTGGCATTCTGATAATTTATAATTCTTTTAGACAGGTAATAAAACTACACTACAAAGAGAAATTTCTGAGAAAGCCAGAAAGTTGTTCAACTTCCCCTTTTGGCTCCTTATCAGCTCATTTCTGTGTTAGGTTAAAATTTCTCTCTTCTTTTTGTTCCATGATTGAAACGAACAAAATTTTTAAAAATTATGCAAAGTGCCAGCGTAAGCAGAATTACTCTTTTTTTATCCTGAGCTTGGGGAAGAAAGAAATGAAAATTAAAATTTCACAGTACCTAATGACCAAAGCCTGCATTCAAAATAAGAAGTCAGAAAAACATAAAAACACAAAGACAAACAGACTAAATATAGGCAGTCATTTTATTGAAACAATCTGACTAGCTAGGGTGCAAATTTTAAAAAAAGCTTTATTCTTCTTCCACTCGTAAACTTTAAACTTGCTTTGTGGAGCAAGTTCTTTTTATCTCTGGGGCAAAATCCTGAGTGAGTCTCATAGAGTTCTCATTCATTTAAATCATAAGAACAGTCTTATGTCAGTCATTAAACTATCTGGCCCAGTGTAGTAATGAAACTTTCAAATACATATCCACTAGGAGCTTTTCTTTCCATTCCAGTGTGGTACTTCTTTGGGTCTAGAAGCCAGAAGTGGGCAAGGGGTTTATGCTTGACTTATTCTTACTGATCCCTAATACCCAGTAGCTGCTGTTTCTGACTCTTCCAGGAATGGTTTTAGATAGAAACGGCTGGTTCTACTGTGATCATGCCAAAGGGCTTGGTGGATATACCACGCTTCCCTTTCTCTCAAGGGGACACTCCCTTTCTTGGAGACTCTCTCACTGGAACTTTCCAGTGGTAATTCAAGGGACAAGAGAATTTTTGTCCTTAGGAAGTTTTTTTCAAGCTGGTTCCAGCGCTCTCCCTCTTGCCAGTTCATTGGTTCAAGGACATAGTTGCACATCCTTGCCTTGCCTCTGCTGTTCTCCTCTGCCTCTCTGTCTCTTCTGAGTTACAGCCTTTCACATAAGTACTGTATTCCCCAAACTCCAAGGAGCACAAGTCAGATCATCTAAGTGATCCTCCTGAAAACTCTTGTTGTTTAAGATGGGAGAAGCACCCTTCCTTCTCCATGATACTCTGGCATTCCCACAATACTTTAATTTTTCTCTCGAAATTCTTAAGCTTCTCCTCTTCAATCCTTAGCCATTTTTATGCATTATTACTTCATATATGAGCTAAGAGTTGCAAAACTGGGTTTCAGAACTCTCCATAGCAAATGTTTTCCTGGTAGTTTAGCAGCTCAGTTTATAATAAGGATATATGATACATCTTTTTGGTTCCTCCAACTCTGGGACCTCAGCTCATCCTGAGGCAGAGTCCCATTTTAACATTCTGTTACATACACCAGTTGCAAAATGGATTTAGCCTCAGGGTGGTAATTACCAGGAATAAGCATAAAACAGAAAAAAATAAACTGGTTATGATATCTGAGTCCCTTCCCTCCCTCATCCTCACAGGGACCAGCTGGGTGAAATGTCGTACACCACAATGTGCATCAACGAGACATTCCGATTGATTCCTGCAGTCCCATCCATTTCCAGAGATCTCAGCAAGCCGCTTACCTTCCCAGATGGATGCACATTGCCTGCAGGTCTTTACATTCTTTTCCTAAGCAGTTCCTAGAGGCTGTGGGATCTTTGGGACCTGAGTGACAATGACTAGTGAGTCTCTTAGCACTTGGTGAAGTTAAAAGATAATGCTAACATGTGGTTTAGGTTTAATCACCTATGAGGAGCTCAGAGGATAATGCTTTGATCAGATGTGAATTTCAATGAATAACCAGTTGCACCAAAGGTAGGCCCAGAATCCATGTCTCTGGAATCCCAGCCCAGGGTCTCTTCCATTGTGGGAAGACATTTCTAAGATAATCTTTGTTTGGCTGACTTTGAGACTCAACTGAAACTTCATGGAAAATGAGCACCACTATCTTCATGTGAAAGACCAACGGGGATCTTTGGCCTCATCATCTTAATATCACCCTTATAAGTGTACAACATTTAATAGTTTATGTACAGTCTTCAAACCCATTGTCTCATTTTTCCCTTTGGAATGTGATGTTACCATACACTTATGCAGTTATTTACAGTTTTCTAAACACTTTTAAATACTTTTGATGTGACCTAAAATCCAGAGGGAGCTCCAATGTGTAGATGAGGTTAACTGATGTGAGCAGAGCTAGAACTCGTGTAGAGGCCCTGAGTCTAGAGCCTAGAGCTCTTCAGAACAACACAGCTTTCTGAGCAGGGCTTATAGGAAGCAGAGGGGTCATGTGAGACATGTTTTCCTTTCCTTTTCTATTACTTCATGTCTTAGGAAACAAGCCAACAGGATTGCTTGTAGCAAACACCTACAGCCTGTTACTGTAACTTTGCTGACAGACCCAGAACTAATTTACTAGATTTATTTCTGGAAACCAAATAATCCTCAAATTCTCTCTCCTTTGTTTTCTACATTTTTTATTACCAAACAACATGGATATTTGCCAGAATTCTACACTTTCTATATATGAACAGCACCAATGGAAATGTGTCACTGGATCTTCATATCTGCATGATGGAATAACAGTTCTCTGCTTTTTTTTTTTTTTTTGAGACAGAGTCTTGCTCTGTCGCCCAGGCCAAGGTGCAATGCCTGATCTCGGCTCACTGCAACGTCGACCTCCCAGGTTCAAGCAATTCTCCTGCCTCAGCCTCTTGAGTAGCTGAAATAACAGGCATACACCACCATACCCTGCTAATTTTGTATTTTTAGTAGAGATTGGGTTTCACCATGCTGGCCAGGCTGGACTCAAGCTCCTGACCTCGAGACCAGCCCACCTCGGCCTCCTGAAGTGCTGGGATTACAGGTGTGAGCCACTGCGCCTGGCCCATTCTGTTTATACCAAATTGTCTTCAGGAGGTGCTTAACAGTCCATTAGCAGGTATTTAGGCCAGGCACAGTGACTGGCGCCTATAATCCCAATATTTTGTGAGGCCAAGGTTGGGGGATTGCTTGAGGTTAGGAGTCTGAGACTAACTAGCCTGGGCAACATAGTGAGACCTTGTCTTTAAAAAAAAAAATGTATATAGCCAGGCGTGGTGTTGCATGCGTGTATTCCTGCCTATTTGGGGGACTGAGGCAGGAGGATCACTTGAGTTCAGAAGTTCAAGGTTAATGTGAGCTATGCTCACACTGCTCTCCAGCCTGAGTGACAGAGCCAGACCCTGACTCTAAACAAAAACAAAACCCAAATATTTGAGTAACTTTCAAACCTAGCAGAAAACATAAGCATGGTTTATCACTTTAATATGACACCAACAGCTACTTAAGACAGAATCATGAATTAAGTAAACTGTTGTGTGGAAAGCTAAGGTGCCAACCCAAGCTGTGTCTTCATATGAGTTCCTCACTGGTGTCATCAGCTACCGCAGGCAGAGGATTGTCAGGCGCTAGCTCTTCCCTTCAAGAGAGTGTTGTTTAAGAGCAGTGTAACAGTAGCCCACAACTTGCTCTTTCTCCTGCAATCTCTTTTCCTTCCCTCCTTTCTCAGGGATCACTGTGGTTCTTAGTATTTGGGGTCTTCACCACAACCCTGCTGTCTGGAAAAACCCAAAGGTATGATTCTCTCTTCTACATAAATACTTCTGAGGACTAATGCCGTGCAAGTCACTTTTTGGTAGCTAAGCACACAAGTGGCTATATAATTAAGGTAAATGACCCAGAGCAAACAAAAATAAACATAAAAGCCAAAAGAAGGGCAAAACAATTCTATGTTCTTGAAATATTCTTGACACGTATATCAGTGATTTCTTTTAAGTAAGCCACTAAGGTTTAAGATCTGTTACATGTAATAGGAAGCTGGAATATACGTCTCTGTAACAATTGGCCACATAATCATTTTGGCTTGGCTTCTAAATGGTTGCACATCCATTTCTACATAAATGTATCTCCATAGTGAAAATAATACCACTTGCCATAGTATTTTGGTTTCCCTGGGTATCAGACAGGTCAGTTGGGAGGCTACGAGGTCTGCAGATCTGAAGTTACAATGCCCAGTATAGTAGCCATGGGACACATACGGCTACTGAACAAATGAAATGTGGCCAATTGGAATTGAGTCGTGCCCTAAGTGTAAAATTTGCACTGGATTTTGAAGACATAGTACCCTAAAAAAATGTGAAACATTTCCTTTTTTCCTTTTAGTAATATATATTATATTGGTTACAGGTTGCAATGATAATTTTGGTTTAAAAAAAAAACTCTATTAGGATTAATTTCACTTTTTTTTTGAGATGGAGTCTCACTCTGTCACCAGGCTAGAGTGCAGTAGCACAATCTTGGCTCACTGCAACCTCCACCTCCTGAGTTCAAGCAATTCTCCTGGCCTCAGCCTCCCGAGTAGCTGGGACTACAGGTGTGTACACCATGCCAGCTAATTTTTGTATTCTTACTAGAAATCGGGTTTCACCATGTTGGCCAGAGAGTCTTAGTCTCTTGACCTTGTGATCCACCTACCTTGGCCTCCCAGAATGCTGGGATTACAGGCATGAGCCACTGCACTCAGCAAATTTCACCTTCTAAAATGGTGGCCACCAGGACATTTTTAATTACACATGTAGTTCACATTATATTTCTACCGATCAGTGCTAGGTAGTAGGTGAGAAAATGTGTTCATGATGTTTTGGGGATGGTGGTGGGGTTGTCCTCTCATTTCAGGTCTTTGACCCTTTGAGGTTCTCTAAGGAGAATTCTGATCAGAGACACCCCTATGCCTACTTACCATTCTCAGCTGGATCAAGGTGAGAACAGTTTGAAGTTGCTAAAAGTACCCAAAGATGTTTACTTGAGAATAGTTTACTCCTTTCCACTCCTCAGCTATGTACATCCTTCCAAGGAACCATAGATCTCAGTGCCTATTTGAGCCCTAAAGGATTAGTTTTCCAAAGGACGGTCCTATTCTCTATCACATCCTGTTTGGCCATGCCTCAAAAGCAATCCCACAATGTAAGCTACTGCTCAGAGGCTCAATGCAGTCCACCTTCGAAACAAGAGAAATAATTTCATGAGGAACTCCAACTGCCACCTTGTGATAGGGAAGGCATCATGTTGGAGCCTTGCAGCCCACATTCTCATAGGGAACAATTTAAGTCTAGAGTTCAAAAGTTTCAATGGCATTTGGTGGAAAAATGTCGCTTTACGGTGTACTTGAGACTTCTTGTGCTGGTATTTTACTATAGTCAGAAGAAACATCATTTCTTCAAGTATCACTTTCTTTTCCTCTTGTCCGCAGGAACTGCATTGGGCAGCAGTTCGCCATGATTGAGTTAAAGGTGGCCATTGCCTTGATTCTGCTGCACTTCAGAGTGACTCCAGACCCCACCAGGCCTCTTACTTTCTCCAACCATTTTATCCTCAAACCCAAGAATGGGATGTATTTGCACCTGGAGAAACTCCCTGAATGTTAGATCTCAGGGTACAATGATTAAATATACTTTGCTTTTAAGTTAAATTTACAGCTAATGGTTCAAGCAGCTAGAAAACAATCAATGTATAGTGGAAGGATTGGAGGAACCTCTGTGAAGCTACACATGATCCAAAATTATTTCTAGGTACACAGTGTATCAGGTAGATCTGTTTCTACATGACTTTGGGAGATTTTCAGATCTTTTCTGTTAGACTTTCACTACTATTAATGCTATATACCAATAGAATTTCATCTATTTTCTGTTCCTTTTCGAAATAGTTTTCAGAATTATGCAAGTAATAAGTGCATGTATTCTCACTGTCAAAAATTCCCAACTAGAAAAACATGTAGAATAAAAATTTTAAATCTCACTTCACATTCCATAGCCTACATTCCATGCCCTGACCAATCCCACTGCTTTTCCTAAAAGCAGAATCGTTTGGTGTGCATTCTTCCAGACTTTTTCCTGTAGACATGTAGCAATGTATTCTTATAGATGTGATCATACTTATATTATTATTGATTTTTTTTCATTTAATAAAAATTTATCTTATTTCCTATCATGGCTTCATGGTATTCTATCATATGAATGTACTATAATTTATTTAACTATTTTCCTTACTGGGTATTTAAGTTATTTATAATTTTAAAAACATGTTTGTTGGCCATTTATGTTTATATTTGTTTTGTTTGTGATTTTTCTGCACACTGTCTATGTTTGTTTTCTATGGAATTGTCTTTTTCTTATTGATTCTTTCAAGTTTTTTATGTATTGTGAATAATAATCCTTTATTATAACTATGCTTTGTAATTTTTTCCCATTCTGTTACTTTTTATGAAAACTGTATTTATGATGTCTTTTACCATATAGAACCTTTTAAATTTTCATGAAGTAAGGTATTTACATTTTTTCATTTCTGAGTTTTGAACCTTGGATAAGAAAGCCTTTCTTTGTAATATTATATATTCTACATATTTTCCTGGTGCTAATAATGTACAGCCTAAATGGAAATGTCTTCATGATTTCCAGATTCATCATTCATTTGAGCCTAATCAGAAATTTAGACTTGTTTTTAAGTGCAGAAGAAGGCCTTTGAAGAGCTTTCATCGAAATGAGATATGAGGTGAATTACATTTTAAGAAAGTTTTACATTCATTATATGGAGATAAGTAAGTGCATTAGAGGGGGCAAGAATGGGGAAGCAGGGAGACCAGTTAGGAAGCTATTGCAATGTACAGAGGAGAGATGGTGATGGTTTGGCAAGGGTGAAGTTGAAGGAAAATGAATGTGAGATGGATTTTGGTGGCATATGGTAGAGTAGATAGGACTCTTTCATGTATTGGAAATAGTGGGTTAGGCATTGGGGAAAATCTAAGATTATGAAGACTAACCAAGGATATCCTATTTGGTCATAGGAAAAATTTTGAAAACACTTGTGACTGGATTGCTCTCACCATGTATCCATCAATACTTGCCTTGCTGGACATTTTGATTCTGATTAAATTCTATAGTAAAAGCTGTGTAGGCAACTTAGGCATCTAATAAGGTGAGAGGCTTAGTATGAGAGAGAAGGTAGCTTGTGAGGCCAAAAATTCCCTTCACCACATAGAAGAGCCGTGATACTTGGTTTAATGAAATTCATATCCTGCCAAGAGTTATGAGAAGATAGAGAGGATTTAGTTCTCAAAGGTAGTGACTCCAAGTGGCCCATAAAAAATATCTGGAAGGGTTCAAATAACTGACAAAGATACTATTTTCCTGTTGCCTTCTCTGTGTAAAATGCAGCATTAGGGAAGGTCACTGTATTAGTTCATTTTCACACCAGTATAAAGATAATACCTGAGACTGGATTATTTATAAAGAAAAGAGTTTTAATGGACTCATAGTTCTGCATGGCTTGGGAAGCCTCAGGAAACTTACAACCATGGCAGAAGGGGAAGCAGGAACATCTTACATGGTGGTAGGTAACAGTACTAGCATTTTAAGAAGGAACTGTCAAACACTTATAAAACCTTTGGGTCTCCTGGGAACTCTCTCACTATCATAAGCACAGCATGGAGGAAACCACCCCAACTTGAGCCAGTCACCTCCCTCCCTTCACACGTGGAGATTATAGGTCCCTCTCTCAACACATGGGGATTACAATCCAAGATGAGATTTGGATTGGGATATAGGGCCAAATCGTATTAATCACCATTAGCTGGGCACAGTTTTCCCTGTCCACCATTTTAATTTGTAACCTATGGCCAGTGCTTTAGCATGGAGTAAGGGTAAGTGGGAGCCTACAGCCCCTATGGTCATGTGTGCTTGGTGCATTCTAGAACTTACAGCAGTAATTATATTGGTGGTGAGCCTTGCCATTTTTTTAAATAAATTAACTGAGATGGGCTGCTGGAAATTTGAATGACTTGATTACTGAACTGTAAATGATGTGACAGCCTTTCCAGTCATTACTATTCTTTATATTGTTTCTATTTTAAGGGACATAACCCAGTCCATGTTTAAATGATAGGCTGTTTGTGGCAAAGATGACTCAACATCCCTTCAACATCATTTCTCCACTGCTACAGAAATAGAAGTGTTAGCTGAGCACGTGGTTGCCAGGTGCAGACTATATTTCCCAGCCTCTCTTTCAATGAGATGTGTCATGTGACTAGATTTTGAGCATAACTGTGAGCAGAAGTGATGTGTACAACATCCAGCTAATATCTTCAAAAGGAAAAGTGCATACCTTCCCTTTTTCTTTTTATCTCCTTCCCATTTCCATAAAGGTGACTGTGGTAGCAGGAGGTAGAGCAGCTATCTTAGATCATTAACCGAAAGCCCTATGTTGAAAAGAGCAGAACAACAGGGTAGAAGGAGCCTAGGTGCCAGGATGACCCTGTAGAGCAAACTACTTGACTACCTCTGGACCACCTAACTTCTCAAGACTTCTTTGTAAGAGGCAAATTATCTTGTTGAAACTGCTTTATTCAGAAACTTTTTAAAAGTCAGCTGTTACTGGGGCTTTCCTTTCATTTTCTATCTCTCTGGATAATCAAAATCGGTTTGCTTTTACTTGGTACAAACAATATATTTCTACTCTTTGTTTCAGGGCTGTTTAAAATAACAATGAAAAATTGCTAGACAATACCTATATTGTTATTGATTTTTTTCACTTAATAAAAATTCACCTTATTGCTTATGGTTTCATGGTATTCTGTAATATAAATGTACTATAATTTATTTGACCATTTTCCTTATTTAATATTTATTTATAATTTTTAAAATGTTGGCCATTATGTTTATCTTTGTATTGTTCTCTGTGATTTGTCTGTACACTATCAATGTTTGTTTTTCTATGGAGTTGTCTTTTTCTTATCAATTCTTTTGAGTTCTTCATATATTGTGGATAATAATCCTTGGTTATAACTATTCTTTGTGATCTTTTCCCATTCTATTACTTATTATAAAAACTGTTAAGAGGTACATGAGAAAAGATAGGAGTAGCTTTCATTATCAAATATCTAGTTGTAAGCCAGGAATGGAGGGAGTGGGCAAGCATCTTGAAGGAGCCACATAGGCTTGGACAAAACACTGTCACTCTCTCTTCTTCCTCCCTCAACTGGGAGGTGACACACAAGTTAAAAATAAAGAGGGCCTAGTTTCTTGAACACTCACCTTAAACTTTTTCTGTAAAGGATAATATGCCTAACCAAGTTGCCTGTTATATCAAGTATCATTTTTATTTTTTTACCTTTTCTGAATCATAACATTTTTACAAATAGGAAGAATATCATGGATCTTCTCCAGAAACTTATACATGCTCCAAGAACCAACAATGTGTCTATGATTTCATGGCATTAATCAATCATGAACCCATGTCTAGACCCAACAGAGAGCCCTTCCTCTGCCTAAATATTAAGAACTTGGGCCTCTCTTATTTCCTTGAGCAGTGGTTTGTAGTTCTCCTTGAAGAGGTCCTTTACATCCCTTGTTAGTTGTATTCTTAGGTATTTTATTCTCTTTGTAGCAATTGTGAATGCAAATTCGCTCATGATTTTGCTCTGTTTGTCTGTTATTGGTCTGTAGGAATGCTTGTAATTTTTGCACATTGATTTTGTGTCCTGAGACTTTGCTGAAACAAACAAATGGGAAAACTTTCCATGCTCATGGATAGGAAGAATCAATATAATGAAAATGGCTATACTGCCCAAAGTAATTTATAGATTCAATGCTATCCCCATGAAACTACCATTGACGTACTTCACAGAACTGGAAAAAACACCTTAAACTTCATGTGGAACCAAAAAGAGCCCACACAACCAAGACAATCCTAAGCAAGAAGAACAAAGCTGGAGGCATCATGCTACCTAACTTCAAACTATGCTACAAGGCTATGGTAATCAAAACAGCATGGTGCTGGTACCAAAACAGAGATATAGGCCAATAGAACAGAACAGAGTCCTTGAAAGTAATGCCACACATCTATAATCATCTGTTCTTTGACAAACCTGACAAAAACAAGCAATGAGGAAAGGATTCCCTGTTTAATAAATGATTTTGGGAAAACTGGCTAGCCACGTGCAGAAAGCTGAAACTGGAACCCTCCCTTACACCTTATACAAAAATTAACTCCAGATGAATTAAAGATTTACTCATAAGACCTAACACCATAAAAACCCTAGAAGAAAACCTAGGCAATACCATTCAGGACATAGGCATAGACAAAAACTACTTCATGACTAAAACACCAAGAGCAATGGCAATAAAAGCCAAAATAGACAAATGGGATCTCATTAAACTAAAGAGCTTCTGCACAGCAAAAGAAACAATCATTAGAGTGAACTGGCAACCAACAGAATGGGAGAGAATTTTTGCAATCTATTCATCTGACAAAGGGCTAATATCCAGAATCTACAAAGAACTTAAACAAATTTACAAGAAAAAAACAACCCCATCGAAAAGTGGGCAAAGGATATGAACAGACACTTTTCAAAAGAAGACATTTATGCAGCCAACAAACATATGAAAAAAATGCTCATTATCACTGGTCATTAGTCAAAACCACATTGAGATATTATCTCATGCCAGTTAGAATGGTGATCATTAAAAACTCAGGAGACAACAAATGCTGGAGAGGGTGTGGAGAAATAGGAATGCTTTTACACTGTTGGTGGGAGTGTAAATTAGTCAACCATTGTGGAAGACAGTGTGGCAATTCCTCAAGGATCTAGAAATAGAAATACCATTTGACCCAGTAATCCCATTACTATGTATATATCCAAAGGATTATAAATCGTTCTATTATAAAGACACATGGACACGTATGTTCATTGTGGCACTGTTTACAATAGCAAAGACCTGGAACCAACCCAAATGCCCATCAATGATAGACTGGACAGGGAAAATGTAGCACATATACATCTTGGAATACTATGCAGCCATCAAAAACAATGAGTTTGTGTCCTTTGTAGGGACATGGATGAACCTGGAAACCATCATTCTCAGCAGACTGACACAAGAAGAGAAAATCAAACACCACATGTTCTCACTCATAGGCAGGTGTTGAACAATGAG